AGAGAGAGAGAGAGAGAGAGAGAGAGAGTATCCTATCTAATTAATTGAATGTCTGGCCTAGCCACTTTGCATCTAACTAATCACTTTACAACAAACTAGTCATTTTACATAATTAGGTAATCTCAATAAGAACTATAAAAGAGGTTAATTATGACTAGATGAACTGTGCAATATGTTTATCTTATACAGGTATTACTATGAAAAAGATATGCAGGAAAACTGATTTAGTCAGTCAAAAGCATTAATGCATGGATGATGGTAAAGTAGTACTATGGCTTTGATAAATAATTTTTCTTGGAGCCAGGGACTCTACTGAAGTCTCTCTTAGGTGCTTTTCTCACTGACTTTTGCTTTATCTAAACTATATTTTCCACCTCTTTTTTACCATAGGGTCATGAAGCAGTAGTTTTGAATTCTTAAAAGAAGAAGCTCAAAGCATAGAGCTACAAACTGGTTAGGAACGATAGCTTCAATTGCAATTACTTGGTTAAGAGCAAATCACATGAATTGGTAATATATTGCAAGAAACACGCAGTGCAAAAAAAAATTAAATAATGCATCGCTTTAACAAACTTCGATTTTCCTTTGGTCGAATTTCGATTCTTTGATTCCATGAACTTTGATTCTTTGATTACAACTCTTCTAGAGCTCATAGTTTCTAAATTAGGAGAGCCAGAGAATGAAGCAGAATAATGAGCAATGAGACACTAACAGAATTTTTAACTGCATTATTTTTAACTCTATTTGAAGGAATATTTTATATTTAGTGCGACAGATAAAGAACAAAAATATTCCTATAAGCATATTTAAGGGACTATCCAAGTCTTTTCCTGTTCTATATTTATCCCTAATTTTAACGCGTCTAAGAGAAAAAACCCAACCACATTAAAAAAACACCTACCTAAATCTGTTACCCATAACCCGTAGTCAAAATTTTAGCAACCGAAAGCCTTTTCATTTTCCTGTTTTTGGCCCCTAATCTTTCCAAATTTACATACAAAACCCAACCCCAACCACCACATTGACTCTCTATAGTTTCTCTACTCTACGGTCTTCTCAAATGTCAATTCCACCTCCACTCTCAAGTCTGAAAATGGCACACGTTTTATCATTAATTGGATGTCCATTTTTTGTACGTCTGATTATTTTTTTTAAAAAAAGATAGTCCTATTATTTGTTGTTGCCTGGAAGTAACTTGAGACTTAAGATAGAAAATCATGTTAGATCATAGATGGTTTAGGCATTTCCAACTTAAACCTTCTTAAGCTTCGGTTCCTAACTGGTGCACTATAATGATAAAGTGAAATTTATAAAGAACTTATATTTGCTTTTAAAACAAATACAATAATCTTTATTCTTTTTAAGAATTAAACAACTACAATAATTTATACTATAGTAATTGTTTTAGAACCAAACAAAAAGCAAGCCCCACTCACTGCCGAACCTTGTTGACTTTCCAATATTATAGTACTATTCGTTCTCAAAACTATAAAAAAGAGCAGGTCTTAGTAGAAGACAGGTCATCGCGAATCTCAATAATTAAATTACAGTAAAGATAAAGAATACTTTTCTTTTTGTCAAATAGCGATAAAAGTATAGTCAAACTTGAAAATTGTAAACCTTCTCGATGGTCGTATTAAATAAAATAAAAGTAGTCAAAATTTTAACAACCCCAAAGTCCTTTTTTCCCATTTCTGCCCCTCCATCTCCCCAAATTTACATACAAAACCCAACCCCACAACATAGTATCTCTATTTTCTACTCTTTAGTCTTCTCCAAATGTTAATTCAACCCCTTCCACTACCTAAATATTACAAACGAACCCCTAAATCCCTAACCCCAAGCTTTTTATTCTTTTCTCTGTTCCGTTGAATCGAACGCCATCATTCTCTCGCCGGAACTTCCAGCTCCGGCGTCGGCGCTCGTGCCTTGAATTACATGACGATGCTCTCCGTCGTAAGTCACAATAACCATTTTTGGATCATCGGTTGCCCTCTCGACATGCTTTCTTGCCGGACATCCTCTTACGCTGCTACATCTATAATATCCCCTGAAAATTCAAAAACCAAAAATTAATCTCAGTACCAAATTCCTAAAATGTTGAAAACAAAAGCACTCCTTAAATTTCTTAAACAGACGGGAATAATTGATGGTGCATGGAAATTACCGTGGGTATGGTGAGCCTTTGATTGGCTTTTGACCGTATTTTCTCCACGAGTAGTCGTCTGCTGGAATATCGGCGATTTTTGAACTGACCGCCGGCACTCTAATCACTTTCTTTACACGATATTTCCTGTTTATAATTATTAAAAACATTGATCAGTTAATGAAAGAAATTACTAGTCCTACTAGTAAATGCTAGTGTACGCTATTACGTATACTGCGTACGTTAACATATTCCACTAGTTACGTCAAAAAATACGGAAGCTAGTGCCAGGCACGCCTTTCGAAACGTCAGCGTCACGACTGATTTTTTGGTCAAAGGCAGATCTGAATATTTCTTCAAATACGCAGAGATGCTAAAATGCGCGGGGTGTGTACATAAGGAAAATACTAACCTCTTTTTGCAGTGACAATTGCCGGAGCCGGAGATCCTACCGGACATTTCATCGGAAAGATCGTGATCGCGACACCTTTTTCCGGCGAGTGGCGGCTTCCCGGATGACACAGGTGGCCGCGGCGGCAAGCTTACTGACGAAAATTGCTTCCCGTTTGATACGCTTCCTTCACAATCACCGGTAATCGACGACATGAACGACGACGAGTTCGTCGATAAACTCAAAGTATCCTTCGCAACCTTTGATTTTGTAAAGTCAAACTTCAATGCCGGAAATTGACTGTGTTCCACCAGCTCAACTGCCGGAGTCGGAGGTGTCGGCTGTGGTGGAGTTTCCTTGACCGGAATAGACGTAGATAGGGAAAGAGCAGTACATGAATCAGAAAGCTGAACCGGACTGCGTCTAAACCGGGCATGACCAGTCCGGTTCAAGATAGAAATAACCTTCTTAAAATTCGAAACAGTGAAGTCGGCGAGTTGTCTACAATCGGGCTGAACTGGTTGGTTTTTCTGCTGTTGATGTGAAACGAACCGGATTAAATGATCCATGGAATTTAAACCGGCTGAAGCTGCTTCTTGTAGAGCTAATTGCTCATTTATTTGCGAATAGCCCAACAACTCTATGGCCATTTTTGCAAATCTCTCAGGCTCTGAAGTCTTAAGATGAGAGGAAGAAAGAAGAAGAGTGGGTAATATAAGGAGAGAGGATTACCGGATAACTGGGTAAGAGTCAAAGGTTTTGATCCAACGGCTGAGATTGATTTAGAACTTTTTATTTTATTTTATCAAGAAAAGACAAAATAATAGCATGCCAATTTCCAGCACCCACTATCGTTAATTCTTTATTCGACGTGGGAAATTGTGGGACCTTTTTTTTAAAGAGAACAAATTATTTTTGTTTGCATTTTCTCCGGAATGAGTTCTGTTATGTAGAATTGTTGGGGACTGTTGGTGAGAAATAGTCAATATTTGGCTAATTAATAATTAGTGTTTGGTCAAATTTTTAAAAAGTATTTTTAGGTATATTTTTTTTAAATGTACTTTTAAAAAAAATATTTTTGGGAAAAATTACTTTTTCTATTTCTCAAAAGTTACTTTTTCTACTACTCATTTTTGGTAATGTTTTTTTTTAAACAAAAAAACTACTTACAGCACCAAATATAATGCGCATTATGGTAATCTCTGCCTAGATTTTAAGCTAGAATCTTTAGTTATTTATTGCTCGGTGGGAGATTAACCGAAAAATAAATATATAAACAAAAGGAAAATCAGAAAAAGAAAAAAGGGAAAGGAATGTAGAAGGAAGGGAGAAGCATCCAGCTAAATTTTGTGAGACTTGTTTGGGCAAAAGTCAAAAGGTTAATAGACATTATCTTTTTTGTGCTTTCCTTTTACACGTTTTCTTAAATTTGGACTTGACAATAAATCCATTTTCTTTGTATAATTTTTCTCTCTTTCTTAATCGTTGTGTTTGTTGGTTGCTTACCTCTTTCTTTGGCGGGTTGCTCACCTTTTTTCTTTTTTTGCTACATCACTAACGATATACGGTTAGCACCGGTCTCATAGTACATTTCGGTCTCCGACATGATAAGTCAAGCTCGAGATATGGTAACAGGGGAACTTAGATCGAGGTAGAAATCTCATCAATTTGGAGTCCGTACCATAACACCCGCCCTCGAGGGTGTCGGGGCCGTGATTCGGGATCGGTCCCTAGCCTCGATTAACTTCGAAAAATATTGTCAGGTAGTCAAGCTCGGCCAACAGAAGGCTGTGATATCCGTGACCGACCGAATATCACGGCGAAGATTTCGGCACGTATCGATAAGAGATCGGCAATCAGTTAATTAGAGGATTTTTTTACCTTTTATAGAATTGTACCTAAAATAGAACCCCTCTGCTATATAAAAGGGTCTAATAATTCATTTAACACATTGTAATATGCATTCTAAAGCAATACATCATTATTCTCTTTACACTCTTATTCGTCTGTGCCTTGATATCGATCGAAGTACATTCGGCTCGAGGGTGGCTAACCTTCCAAGGCTGAAATTACCCAGTTCGTGTGGTTTGCATTTACTTTACCATCATTTATTTCAATTGTAATCTAATTTATCATTTTGTATCAAATTAATTCACGTATCTTTAAAATCACTTATAAATTCAATTGTTATTCGATTTTGAGGGTAAACAGTTTGGCGCTCACCCTAGGGCTAAGGATAATAGTTGTTATTTGATACAAATCTCCATAACACACATTACTTTACACTTGTTCTTTGAAATATCTCTGATTTCAGGTTAAAAGTCAAAATGTCGAACTCTAAATCAGCACCCCTATATATTGACAATGAATCTGGTCATCACTGTGAAAACAACATAGCGCCTGGTGATGAGGTACCGCTCGTTGATCCCATCGGAATTCCGGTCGCAGATTCAATTGACGCTAATTCATATGTGGCTATCAAGACAAACCTGCCTACCAACCCTAAGAATAACGTCCGCGGTGGAACCCGACCGGCAGCTCAAAATACACAAAATATTGGAGGAGACGGGATCAGTCTACCGGTGATCTTCGAAATGTTGCAGGCTCAACATGCGTGTTAGCTCAGTTACAGAACCAAAGGCGTGCACCGAGCAAAGTTGAACCCGATCCATCTCGGGAAGTCACCCGCATGGATGAACCGATCGTAGAGAGTTCGAATGAAAACAAATAAGGGACTAACCCCGAGATCATAAATATGCTCGAGGAACTTAACAAACGGGTAGAATCATGGGAGAAAAAAACTGAAGCTAATGACAAAAAGGTGGATACCTCCAACTCCAGGGTCGACCAAATCCCAGGAGCACTGCCGATATTGAAAGGACTGGATTCCAAGAAGTTCGTGCAAAAACCTTTTCCTCCGAGCGCAGCTCCAAAGCCTATCCCTAAGAAGTTCTACATGCCCGAGATTCCTAAGTACAACGGGACGACCGACCCAAATGAGCATGTAACCTCCTACACATGTGCCATCAAAGGGAACGACTTGGAGGATGATGAGATCGAGTCTATCTTGTTGAAGAAGTTCGGAGAGACCCTGTCAAAGGGAGCCATGATATGGTACCATAACATACCTTCTAATTCTATTGACTCGTTTCCTATGCTTACAGATTCCTTCGTAAAAGCACATGCCAGAGCTATCAAGATCGAGACTAGTAAATCAGACCTCTTCAAAGTAAAACAGAGGGGTAATGAAATGCTCAGAGAGTTCGTGTCCCAATTTCAAATGGAGAGAATAGACTTACCCCCGGTTGCTGACGATTGGGCCGTTCAAGCTTTCACCTAGGGACTCAATGTTCGAAGCTCGGTGGCTTCACAGCAGTTAAAACAAAACCAGATAGAATATTCGGTCGTTACTTGGGCCGACGTGCATAATCGGTATCCATAAAAAATCAGAGTCGAAGATGATCAACTTGGGGCCCCTTCGGGGTCCGTTTATCCCGTCAGAGCCGTCGATAGAGCCAAGAGAGATATTGATCGTGAACCGAGACCAAACAGGGATCGTTATCAACCGTACAATGAGGATCGAAGAGGTAACGGATCTGGGAGAAATCTCATAAGAAGTGAAATGATAAGTGATTGAGGTCAAAGTAACCGGAGACTCATGGACAAGAACGATTTCGACAGGCCTATAGGGCCTAAGGAAACACCGAGGTTATCAGAATACAACTTTAACGTCGATGTTGTCGCCATTGTATCAGCTATCGGATGCATCAAGGACACCAAGTGGCCTCGACCTCTACAATTCGATCCAACCCAAAGGGATCCTAACCAGATGTGTAAATATCACGACACTCACGACCACGGAACGGGGGATTGCTGACAGTTGAGAGAGGAAGTAGCCCGACTATTCAACAACGGGCATCTTAGAGAATTCCTGAGCGACCGAGCCAAGAATCAATTCAGGAATAGGGATTCTAACAAATAGACCGAACAAGAAGAACCTCAACACGTCATTAACATGATCATCGGTGGGGTCGATGTCCCTCAGGGGCTGATGTTGAAGCGCACCAAAGTATCCATCACGAGGGAAAAATGGACTCGAGATTACATACGGGAATGAACCTTGTCTGTCAACGACGAGGACGTGGAAGGGATCGTGCAGCCCCACAATGATGTACTGGTAATATCTGTACTTATAAATAAATCTCGAGTTAAGCGTGTGTTAATTGATCCAAGTATCTCGACCAACATCATCCGATCGAGGGTCGTGGAGCAACTCGGTCTACAAGATAAAATCGTTCATGCAGTCTTGGTTCTAAACAAATTCAACATGTCATGTGAAACCACTAAGGGGGAGATAACATTACCGGTGAATATTGCCAGGACCATCCAGGAAACTAAGTTTTATGTTATCGAAGGAGACATGAGGTACAACGCTTTGTTCGGGAAGCCATGGATCCACAACATGAGGGCGGTGCCCTCGACTCTGCACCAAGTGTTAAAATTCCCAACACCATGTGGGATTAAAACAATCTACGGAGAACAGCCAGTCGCAAAGGAGATATTTGCGGTTGAAGAAGCAATTCCGATATCCGCACTTGCAATGACAAAAGGGCCGAGTTCGGTCACAAAGCAAGAAGCTAAATAGGAATTACCAACACCAGCCTTGACCCAATCGGGTTCCCAGGTCTTTTATAGCCCCCGATGATTCCGACACCACTAAATCGACAGTCGAGGAGCTAAAACAGGTTATCTTGATCGAGCATCTATCTGACTGAAAGGTATACCTGGGCACGGGTTTAAGTCCCGAGCTCAGAGAAAAATTCATTCAGTTTCTTATAGCTAACATAGATTGTTTCGCTTGGTTCCACCTTGATATGACAGGGATCCCGCCAAAAATAACCATTCACAAGCTAAGACTAGACACGAAGTTCCATCCGGTCAAGCAGAAGAGGAGACCCCAGTCCAAGGTCAAACATGGTTTCATCAAAGACGATGTATCTAAACTCTTTAAAATAGGGTCTATTCGGGCGGTTATATACCCGGATTGGTTAGCGAATGTAGCAGTAGTCCCTAAAAAAGGGAATAAATTAAGAATGTGTGTAGACTATAAGGATTTGAATAAGGCATGTCCCAAGGACTCCTTCCCTTTGCCCAATATCGATCGCATGATCGATGCCACGGCCGGCCACGAGATCCTCAGTTTTCTCGATGCCTACTCCGGGCACAACCAAATACGGATAAACCCGGGTGATCGGGAAACAACCTCCTTCGTTACTAAATACGGCACATACTGCTATAACGTGATGCCATTTGGGTCAAAAACGCCGGTGCCACTTACCAACGCCTAGTAAACCGGATGTTCGAGGAACAAATAGGAAATCAATGGAGGTTTACATTGATGATATGTTGGTTAAGTCCCTGCGAGCAGAGGACCATTTAAAATATTTGCAAGAAATCTTCAGCATATTGAAGAAATACAATATGAAGTTGAACCTAGAGAAATGTATGTTTGGAGTTGGATCAGGTAAATTCCTCGAATTCTTGGTATCCAATTGGGGAATCGAGATCAACCCCAACAAGATCAAAGCCATCGAAGATATCACGGTTGTGAACAACGTGAAGGCCGTTAAAATATTAATCAGACGCATAGCCGCCCTGGGACGATTCATCTCGAGGTCCTCCGATAAGAGCCATC